TATATATATATATATATATATATATATATATATATATATATATATATATATATATATATATATATATATATATATATGGATTGCGCATTGGGTGTGAGAGATGAAAATCAGATACCGACCTGGAGTTAATTCTCGGATGCTCCTTCAAAACTGTATATTCAAAGACTTTGTTCACAAAAATTCCTAGTACTTCTTTCACATTATTTTCAGGGGACATACCGAACCCATGGATTCTACGCAGGAAGTACTGTTTGAAGCAACGCACAGCACTTCCAGCGTCGACTGCAGCACGCACTGATCATTTGATTGTGCCAGTGTTTTAACTAGCTCAGGGATATATCCTATTCAAAGGTGGCCAATTGAAACAGAAGTGAGGCACATGATACAATGTTAGTCGACACTAAAAAGTGTCAACTGTAAAACGCGGGTCTCGTGGACCAGGAGTGGGTTGATTCAGATTTCGTATTAGTTCGAACATTTAGTCTATCACAAGGTGGTATATCGAAAATGAGAGTGTTGGCAACTGAGCGCGATCGAATATACAGAGCTCGAAAAGCCATAGTGGTTGAGTGCAGATGAGAGAACACGATAGTCTGTAGACAGGACAGAAGCTTCCATCAACTAGCTATACACAACGAATGTCCTTTATTTTTCGTTTCTTCATGTATAAAATCAAATAAGCCTATGTAGATGAGGCATACACATTTTTAATTATGTTTAGGTTGCAATAGTTGCAAGGCAAATCATCATCCACGTAAATACTTTGAAATACAGAAGCGTTTCGTTCCATCGCTATTCAACCGTGTTCATGTCCAGTCACTAAAGCAGAAGGCGGAGCTCTATAACGAATGCGTGGACCCATACTCAACAGAATTGTAGTACATTTCCAAAATAAATAATTCCATGACCACGCAATACTGCAAACGTTCAACCTTAAAGCCACCTCAAGCATACCTAGAGACGCCAAGCTATCAGTCATGACAGTATTCCCTCGAAGCAGATTGCATATTGATGCCGAGAGCTGCTCTAGGTTATCTCCATCATTCTCAGCTGACTGCAATGCAAACATGAAGATGTAGAATAAGCTACTAGGATCAAACTGAAGAATTGCGGCCAATCAGTATTTTGGCGTTGGCTGGTATTTAAGCACGCGTTCTTATCAAAGTAAAGAACCCAATAGGCGGGTTGCACTATCTCAAAATTACGGTGTAACGAAAATCTATGGTTTATTTGAAACGTGTAGAACACAGTGTAAAAATATTCCAATAAACCGCGACAGAAGTTACAGTCTATACTATAGTAATATCTGGATTTACAACTGCGAAGTGCCCCAAGCGCATTCCAGGTACCAGATGAGGGGTAGAAAGATACCTATTCAACAAGTAAAGGAAGCTTTAGTCTCCAACAACTTACATAACAGAGGTTGATGAACTTCTCGACACAGGCCACCAGATACTGCCGGGGGTGGCGAAGCGACCACGTAGGTTGCATGTTGAAGAGCCGTACGTAGACGCCATCACACACCAGTTCATTCTCCAGCTCTGTGCAAAAGGAACGATGGAATCAATAGGTTGTCTAATGGAGATACGTGGAATGCGCTGTTTAGTTGACTAGGAAACAGTGTGATTGGGGACGATACTTAGGTTTGCTAAAAAACTGACTAAATATGGATGGATGGTCAATTTATATGGCTAATCTCCGGCCCGAACTGCACTGTATAATGCACATCATGTGGGAGAGAATAATCTTGTCTAAATCTCATTGGTACTATATCTCAATACATAAGTGGAAATAAGAATGTAATGATCACGGTCCCACGCATTTCTACCTAATACAACCGAACAACATGCTAGGACTTGTGCGACACTCGATGGATTGACATGGTTCACTGGCCGCATGTGCATATTCCATGCTACTTGAGCGAAGGTACAATCTTAAGTCATACACTCATGATAAACGCTGCCTCGGTTACAGATCTCAGCTACAAACATATGTGATAAAAGGTACCTTGGTAAATGACTTCGAAGTTGGGAGGCAGACTCCACATGGCCAATTCGTTGGTCTTCTGCACGGCATACCAATCGTCGCGCATTTCCCGCACAACGGTTTTGACCTGTACAGTGCACGCGTTCATGTGGAAAAAATAGTTTATTTCTTGTAAGCGGTTGCATGGTAAAAGCATTTGTCTGTGCACGAGCATATCACACTGACACTCAGGAACAAACGCACCATTCAACACAACTTAGTATGTATCAATTAAGATGGGCGCGTAATGCCAAACCTGCTTCTACCGCAAACTCACTGAAGTATCCCAAACATGGATTCACGCACCCACCATCAAGATTTACGACAAACTCATTTCTATATATTAAACCTCACTACAGATACAGGGCCAAACACACCACTTCATCCATCGCAATATCAGCACATCGAACGTATGGTGGTTCAACTTCGCTAACACACTCGCTTTGTCCATGCCGGACATGGCCTCCAATAATCCCCACATAAAAAGACGACTAAACACACCAGCTAGCTCAACCAAGTGCCAGTACACGCAGCACGTGTGATGGCATACCTTCTCGCGCACACTTTCGGTCCATACGAGTTCGGGGTTCTCGTGCACACCGTCGAACATGGTGATGGCCGTCTCTGGTTGTCGCTTCCACGCATCCATGAAGATCCTCGGCAGGAAATTGGCCAGCATCAACGACATCTGTGAAAGCGTGAGAGACCTTTTAGCAGAGACCCTTAAACAAGGAAAGAAACACTACGTGAAAACTTATCTATCAAATATTTGACTCTTCTTCAGAAGTGCTTTGCCAGAGATTTCCAGAACTTGTACGTCGAAGTACGTGCAATTGGAAAGTTTCTCGACATCCGAAGAACACATCGTCGCGTAGCATGTCTACACCAGTAGGCCCTACGTCAACGGACCCGCCACTAATCACGAGGGTGTGTTTTTCAAACTGTGGAGTTGCCAGTTCTAAGTCATACAACGCGGCTAGTTCGTTTAGTGTAAGGGCATCGCAAATGGCCACACATATCTAGTAGACATCTACAAACAGTATACAAGCAAGATCGCTCGATCAGCTCACATAGTGTAGAGGCAGATGCGAACGGCAACCAGATTGCAGATGAGAGAATCAATTTGAACCAGACCACCCTCCACTGACAACCGGAAATACAACCACTCAAACGCTCGCTTAGACGTCCACACACACACTTGCCTTGGGTCCATTCAGTTTGTCCTTCGACAGCCGTGCAAAGAACGTGGCCGCGGCAACCCGCACCGCTGATGATTGGGAGTTGGTAAACAAAAACAGAATATACAGTAAGGCGCCGCTGTCTCGCAGCTGCGTGACTATTTTTGCGTTGGAAGCCAGCACTGACAGCACTTCCAGAAGGCGCAGGCACGGCTAAACAGGAGGAGAGGAGCAGTGTATGTTAGACTATGAAGCCAGTCGTCACACTATATGCTAGATAAAATGCCAGATATCACAAATATGGTGGGGGGGGTGGGGTTGAGATGTTATGGAAGCGTACGTTAGAAGTGAAACCTCCCGTACAGACATGCGGCTCCAGAGATGAATGAAAATACGGCAACGCTAACAATGAAATCGCTACAAGTGATAAAGACGCCTCACCACTTATCCGATACGTATAACAAGTGTATCGACCAAGGAGTTGTCCAGAATACACAGTACCGCTTACACATCTATATCTACTGAAACACTCAATTTCTATAAATTTCATATACAATGTGCCGTAACAATGATATTTTGACCGATACTAAACCAGCTGCACCGTGCTGAAGTTGCTACAATAGCTAAACACACTGCCTTTCTTACCCTGCACACCAATCAAATATTATATGAAAAAGATACATGTTGACTTGATACACTGCACCACATAAACAAGGAATACTCTACCTACTGAAACACTCAATGAAATTAAGATATATACTGAATGAGGAATACTCTACCTACTGATACACTCATTGAAATTAACATACATACTAAATACACTGCCCCGTTAACAAGGCAAGCATTGTGATCATCAAACACGCTGCAGTGCTTACCCGATCGTCGGTATGGGTTTCCAGCACAGGGATGAGCAAGCACAGCGACGCAATGATGTTGTTCGCGGCTATGTCGTTCACGCAGTCCTTGTTCGCTACCACTTGCTCGAACACCTGTTGGAACAGCAAAGTGAGATTGGTCAGTGCTGCGGATTGGTTTGGACCGTGCGTTGAAGTTAGGACACTTTACTTAAGGCAATGCTTGACATAACGAGCCGCTTACGTCCGTACGCTCTGTATTGCAGTTATATATACACAATTATATTTGAGCTCTTAAACGTCTGTGAATTATATTGGCTGCGTGCAAACCCCGATGTGACATTCCATAGTACACAGAATATATATATATATATATATATATATATATAGTAGTGCGAGTGTGTGTGTGTTGTGTGTGTGTGTGTGTAGTAGTGTGTTAGTTGTTCGTGTGTGTTGTGACTATATATATTATTATATATTATATAATATATATGTAGTGTAGTATATTAGTACATATAT